ACAGCAGAGCGGCGGAGAGAACCAGTTCAGTCTCTGCTGCTCATTGCCGCTACCGGCTCTGCAGAATCGGGCCAAACCAGTAGAATACCACTACTGTTCGTATCATTTTTCTGTTCTAAATCTCTCCATTCTTAAGAATAACAATATCTTCTGAGTTTGGCAATTTTTACAGGATTAGCTAGACATTATGGGGTAAAAGTGTAAAATTTTTGAATGACATATGGCTGTGGATATAAAACACAAATGTTCAGAGACCTAGGATACAATAGGTCATGAAAGGAATTCTTGAATCCATCCTAAGCTTTTTGTATCCTCTAAAGCAGTGGTTCCCAAAGTGGGCGGTACCACCCCCTGGGGGCGGTGGGATGCCTTAGGGGGGCGCTAAGAGGCAAGAGGGCCGGCAGGGGGGCGCTAAGAGGCAGCACGGGGGCATTCGAGGCCCTGCAGGGTCATCCCATTGACTGTTGCACCGCTCTGGAGCCGGCGCTTCGAATGCAGCAGCTCTGATGCGCTGCACTGTAATGGGCTCCAGGAGGAGGGGATGGAGTAAGGTGCACTAAATTTGAGTGTGCTGCACAGGTGCTGCAAGAGCAGCGAACAGCCATGGAGCCGGCTGTGGTGGGGCCTGGAGAGTGCGCACGAGAGGAGGAGAGGGAGGGAGGAAGCCTCCGCCACGGCTTGCGCTCATTCCTCAGCCAACCTGGATTTCCAAAAACTCGCCAAGAAGAAAGAAAAGAAGCTTCTCACTCTCGGAAAGTCCTGCGTGCTCTACTTGGGGCTCTTTGTTATCCTTTTTTCTTCCTTCCTTTTGGAAATCCGGGCTAGCTGAGGAACGAGTGGAAGCCGTGGTGGAGTTCTTCAGCCAGCCCAGATTTCCAAAAGGAAGAAAGAAAAGGAGACAGCGAAGAGCCCCAGGGAGAGCACGCAGGGCTTTCCAAGAGAGAAAGAGAGAGAGAAAGAGAGAGAGAGTCGGCTCAATTCAACTTTGTCTGCTCCCCTCTCTCTATGCCCAGTTTTACAAAGATTTAGCAGCATCTAAGGCAGCAACCTCGTAGCACTGTGAGGTAACAGCCTGACTGTCACTCCTTTTGAAATGCAAGGTTTATTTTTGTATCTTTCCAGAGACAAAGAACGTGGCCAAATTTCCTTACAGTTATTCCCTGGGTGTGGGAGTTGGGAAGGGGGGTGGGGAGTGGGGGAGAAGGAGGGAGGAAGAGGCATAGAGAGAGAAAGAGAGAGGAGAAAGAGAAGGAGAGGGAGAGAGAAAGAGATTAGGAGGAGGAAAGGAGGAAGAGGGAGATAGAGGGAGAAAGACGGGAGAGGGAGGGAGGAGAGAGAGAGAGCAACCTGTTCCCCATAGAAAACACAGAAAACCACAAAACCTTGGGGGGGGGGGTCATGTGCCTCAGTGGGAGTGACATTGAGTTGCCATGCCCACCCATGTCTTGGGGCTCCCGGTGTTGTTTTCTATGGGAAACAGGTCCAAATGGCTCTTTGAGTGTTTAAGGTTGCAGACCCCTGACCTAGGGGGAGGCAGAGGAAGGGGGGCTTTGACCACGTCCAATATCCAGGATCCTGCTCAGCCAAGCCCGCCCCTCTTTGTAGTTGCCCTGCCTGACAGCAAGTTCACAGGCTGCCCCTCCCGCCAGGGATCGGCCTCCCAAGATGTCCCCGCCTCGGGGCACTCACATCGTATAGGGCGGTGCAGTTCCCTCCTTCCTGGAACCGGGCAAGGTTGAGGAAGCCCAGGGCAGGCAGCTTTGTTCTACTTTCGCAATGTGCCGCCGCTGCGTTCAATGCGCCAGCTCCGCAAGCAAACCCCATTGAGCCCCTTGCACCTCTCCGGTGCAACAGCCAATGGGGTGAACCTGCGGTGCCAGCACCTCAAACACCCCCCTGCTGCCGCTTAGCGCCCCCAAGGGGGATGGCAGAGGGGCGCTAAAAGGTGGCAGGGGAGCGTTCGAGGCACCGGCACTGCAGGCTCACCCCATGACTGTTGCACTGCTCTGGAGCCAGCGCTTCGAATGTGGTGACGGCGGGTTTGCTTTACTTTCCCAAAGTGCCGCTGCTTTCGCGTTCTGTCTGCCTACCTGCCTGCTGCCTGTCTGTCTACCTACCTACCTACCAATATCTATCTATCTACCTACCTACCTACCTACCTACCTATCCATACATCCATCCAAAAAGTCTGTCTGTCTTCCTGTTTGCTTGTCTGCCTGCCTGCCTACCTACCTACCTACCCACCTACCTATCTATCTACCAATATATCTACCTACCTACCTACCTGCCTCTCTCTGTGTGTCTCTCTCTCTATCCATCCATCCATGTTCGAAGCGCTGGCCCCGCAGGCACATTGGGAAAGTAGAGCAAAGCCAGTCTGGGAGGGAGGGAGGGAGGGAGAGAGAGAGAGAGAGCGAGAGAGAGAGAGAGAGAGAGAGAGAGCTGATGCATTAGATTGAAATGAGGCCTAGTTTAGACTGAGGCCCTTTTCCACATTGAAACATCTTTGCCAGCACATTGAAACATCTTTGGCTTCTATTAAAGGTTTTGTGGACGAAACATGGTCAAGACTATTATGGAGCTCTCACATTTTGTTGAGGCTTTAAACAGGATCCATTGGACCAGATCTCCACCCTAAAAATTACCTTTCCCCGATGTTTTAAAGTGCAAGGCAAAACCAAAATATACTGGTAAATTACGAGAACACACACACTCCCTTCTAACCCTGCTGGAGCAGGTGATTGGACTAGAATAGATATCTCATTATCTTCCTCCTTCCTCTCTCCCTCCTTTATTTCTTTTTCTTTCTGTCCCTTCCTTCCATCCCCCCTCTTTCTTCATCTGTCCCTTTTTCTTTCTTTCCCTTTTCTCTTTCTTTTCTTCTTCTCTCTCTCTTTCTTTTCTCTCTCTCTTTCCCTCTCTCAGGCTCACCCCATTGACTTGGTGCACTGCTTCGCTCGGACTTGCTTGGGCAGGTCCCTCTGGTGCAGCGGGCTCAATGGGGTGGAGCTACGGGGCTGGCACCTAAAACATGGCAGTGGTGGCACGTTTGAAAAGTCGAGCAAAGCCAGAGGTCAGTAATTTTTGCTGCAAAGAATCACAAAAGCTTCTGGGTTGTGCAAAAGAAGGGACACACATGTCAATGCACAAGAATCGGCAAAACATCTCTAATTAGATTTTATTCACTACTAGAATCTAATCAGAGATGCTTTGCCAATTCTAATGACCTGCTCCAGCAGGGTTAGAAGGGAGAGAGTGTGTATGTGTGTGCATGGCTGTCAAAACTCCAGAAACAGGTCAAGTAGCTCTGGGGAGGCCAGTCATAAATTACAACACTTGCTAAACAACCGGCCATTAAGTGAGGACTACTTGTATTTGGTTTGTGAGTCACCTGGCTACGCCCACCCAATCACATGACCACCAAACCACACCTATCTGGTCATGTGACCAGCAAGCCACGCCCAGACAGCAAGCTATACCAGCAAGTCATATGACCAGCAAGCCACGCCCACCCAGTCACGTGACCAGCAAGCCACATCCTCAAATTGGGCCACACCCACAAAATTTAAATCCCACCCTTGGGTGGGGGACACCAAGGATGAGTTTGTAGCACAAAGTGGGCATTGGACTGAAAAAGTTTGGGAACCACTGCTCTAAAGTTACAACATGGTCAAGGGAGAGGTACAAATAGGAAATTCCTAATGCTGCTCACAAAGGTGAATGACCTCAGTAGATTAATGAATAATCATTACTCAATTACAATTCAGGCTACAATGCTGATTACCAATAAAAGCTGAAGAAATATGTCTGATGCATCTTTTCTGCTCCACTGAAGGTTGTTTCAGAGAGTTCTCACAGACAGTTGATTTCTCTTTTGTCACTCAGTCTATCAGAGATTTTATAGTGCATAAGATTTGCATGATTGAATGAAAATGAAATAAATATGCTAGTTATGCTTTTAAAATCCACCAGTACTCCCCTGCTTATTTTTATATGATACTTTCTCCCCTTTTTGATTTATTGTGTTTATATTGTGTACTGTGCAGAGTCGCAGTCTGAGTTAGGTGAAAATAAATAAAGCCAAAATGACAAAGTATGGATTCACATTGCAAATCCCACCATTTCATACCTGCATTGCAATGCTGCACAGAAGTAGGGATAGAAGCTGTAGCCCCTTATACACATTTATAGCCAGAAGCAATGGAATACCTAAAGAATAACTATAGAAAAGAAATACATATGCAGCATTTCTGAATAGGCCTGGTGATATTGCTGACATGCCATGAACCTATTCTGGAAAATGACATCATTAGCATTTAGGACAAAGTAAACAGTGACATGGGAAATGTTGACACTCTTGAAGCAGGGGGATTCTCTTCAGGATTGAGAATCTTCACATTGCCTTAAATCACTTTGCACAATCAAAATCAAAGATTTTGAACCATCAAGAGAAACTTTTCCTGATAAAAGCCTTCAGAGGGTAAGAGGGGGGAGGGGAAAAGCCGCATAAATGCTTTTTAAAATTACGATGACGATTTCTCATATTTGTATCCATTTCTGACCGCCAGGAACTGGATCGATACCATCTGGTGAGCTGGAACGAACTTTTCTTTCCTTTTTAAAGCTGTCGACTACACCGCTAAGGTTACTAACCGACGGACGGATATTATTAGTGTAGTAATGTAGTTTTGGCGCCATGCCCTTGGGGCGCTTTTCTCACGGGCAATGAACATGCTTTGGCTTACTTTCCCGGATACTTAGGGCTTTTCCCTTCCGCAAAACTATAAACACCTTTAACCTAACGGAGTCTTCGTAGGTCATAGCAGCTGACGTGGCGAGAAGGAGCAATAATTTCGGGGCTGCCGCAGTCCGAGGCAACTTTCTTGCCCTGGGCAGGGGACCCATCGCCCTAGCTGAGGGCTTTGGTCGAGGGCGTGTTCGTTTGTTTTCTCTGCGGGTTTTCCTTTGCCTGCTGTCCGCTTCGCCCATGGGACCGCTGGAGCTTCTCTCGCTCCCATGGCAACGGCACCCGGTTTGTGTTTTCCTCAGTGGAAACGGCAGCGCTGAAGCCTGAGTTGCCGAGCCTTTCGGAGCCATGGCTTCCCCGGCCCTGCCGGAAGTTTCCCCGATCCTCACTGTTCCCTCTTTCGGCGAAAAACCAAGACATCTCTCCTCTTCCTCCAGGCTGGACAGCAAACTCAGCAACGGCCTCGAGCAGGTGAGAGAAATGGGCGGCCATATTCAATTCTACCCTTCTACCCAGCTATGGGGCCTCTTTAATTTGGGCCGTATAGGCGGGGCTGCCGGGCCTCACGAAACGGGCCCTGTCAAATGCAAAAAGTGGTAGCCAAAAGAAGTGTGTTCTCCCCAACCCCGATTTGTGGAGGTTTTTTTACTGCGCCTATCAAAGAAGGGTTTGTTGCCTTGGAATCTGCCTGAGGGTATTAAAATTTCCTGAGAAAGCAATTAATCAGTAGCAGGACTTCCCTCCAGAAGTTGTAGGTGATTAATTGGAGGTCTGTAAGAAAAAATTGAACAACGATTTGTCTAAAATGGTATGGGCTTTCCTGATTGAGCAGGGGGTTGGAGTGGACTAAACCTCCAAGGTCCCTTCCAATTCTGTTATTAATAAAGACTACCCCTCTCTCTTTCTCCTGGAAATGGTTCTGGTGAAAACACCATCTATGTTCTCCTCTGGGGGGATCCAAAACAGACAACAGACAGTGGAAGAAACTTTAGGCAAGGATAAATAAAAGTGCAGGGTATAGGAACACAAAGGCGATCTTAAAAATATAAATCAAAAGTAACAAGTGAGAATGTTGGTGCACAAACTCATTGGTTTTGAGACAGAAACAGCTGCAGATAGTCCTCAATTTAGGACCACAATTGAGCATAAAATGTTGCTAAGTGAAACATTTGTTAAGTGAGTTTTGCCCCATTTTACAACATGCCACTGTTGTTAAATGAATCATTGCAATTGTTATATTAGTAACCTGGTTGTTAAATGAATCTGGCTTCCCCATTGATTTTGCTTGTCAGAAGGTTGCAAAAGTTGATCATGTGACCCAGATCACTGCAATTGTCATAAAGATGAACCATTTGCCAAGCATTTGAATTTTGATCATGCAACCATAGGGATGGTGCAATAGTCATAAGTATGAGGAACGGTCTTAAATCACTTTTTCAGTGTCTTTGTAACTTTGAATGGTCACTAAACCAACTTTGAGCATTACTTGAATTTAATTTAAATGTGAGCATACGTATACAAAAGGATATATATATACTTAACAGATAGATTCCTGAGAAGACTTCATTCTAAGCACAGAAACCTTTTATTTTTTAAACATTGGGACCATATCCTAAGGCACTATAGCTCTAAGTCAAAGCCTTTCTCTAATATGAAGATTCTAGTTCCAAGCAAATGCACATGAATATAGTGATTTAGTTATTCTGGGCCTCAGTGATGAATAATTCAACCTCAAATTGATACTCCAAGTTGGGCTGAAAAAAATGAATAAAAGCCAATCTAATTGATAACAGAACAATATAACAGAAGGCACCTTGAAGGTCTTCTAGTCCAACGTCCTGCTCAGTGATGAGATACCATTTATACCATATATTTAAACTACACTTAACTGGGCTTATATAACTTTGTATAGAACTAGATTTTTTTTTTGTTCTTAATTGATCGATGTAATTTATTTTCTTGCAAAGATTAACTTACTGATCATAACAGTTTTACTCATATATCTTTAATTTTATTTTTAACTTATATCCCATTTTTTCCCTCTAGGGTTTAGATTAAAAACATAAAAAGCAATTTTATTATTTATTTATTTATTTATTTATTGAATTTATATTGCCGCCTATTCGCCCATGGCAACTCGAGGCGGCTTACAGAATGTAAAACCATATTTAAAATAAAAAACAATAAAAACTAACAAAAAGAATCAAATAAATTAATAAAGTACAATAGAACAAAATCTGGAAAAAAATAAAAAAAAATCACCCCCCAACTCCCACCCCCTGCCCCGACGACAGCAGATCACAGGAGCCATTTGATGGGCTCCATCCTGCTCTGGGTTCCCCAGGCCCGCTGGCAGAACCAGGTCTTCAGTGCCTTCCGGAAAAGTATTAGAGAGGGGGCCATTCTAATCTCTGGGGGAATGATATTCCAGAGAGATGGAGCCACCACAGAGAAGGCCCTTCTTCTAGGTCCCACCAGGTGTATCTCCCCCAGGGATAGGACTCTTAGCATTCCCTGCCTCCCTGCTCTTATGGCTCGGGTAGATGTGACCGACAAGAGACATTCCCTCAAATAACCTGATCCCAAGCCATGAAGGGCTTTAAAGGTGACAGCCAGCACCTTGAATTGCACCCAGAAGCAAATCGGCAATCAATGCAGCTCCCGCAGGAGAGTTGAAATATGTGCACACCGGGGTTTGCACAAAACCACTCAGGCTGCTGCATTTTGCACCAATTGGAGCTTCTGGATGTTCTTCAAGCACTTTGTAGAGCACTTTGCAATAATCAAGACGTGGAAGTGACCAGGGTGTGATTGTGAGTAGCGACTGTTGGTCCAGGAAAGGGCATAACTGGTACACAACCCGCAGTTGCGAAAGGGCCCTCCTGGTCACGATCGCCACCTGCTCTTCAAGCAGAAGTTGTGAGTCCAGGAAAACCCCTAGATTATGCACAGGTTCTGTTTGGAGTAGTCCACCCATTCAAAACCAAAGGTGGCTATTCTCCCTGAGCCAACGAACCCCAAACCCAGAGCCACTCGATCTTGCAAGGGTTTAATTCCAATCCGTTGCTGCCCATCCAGCCCCTAATAGCCTCCAGGCACTGTGATAGGGAGGACACAGCAACACTTAATTCATCACAGGCCAAGATATACAGTTTGTTTTTTTTAAACAGACTTTATTCAGTTTTCACATTAAAAACAAAAATCTCTTTTTAGTGGACAACATATTTCCGGGTCATCATCTTTACATACAAATATGACAGAAATTATACATTGATATATGCATACTTAATTCTATTATTACCTTTTCCATTCCAAATTTTCAGTAAGGAGAGAAACAAACACATTAATTCTAGCCTCTTTCATTAATTTCAATCAATTTTGTTTCATTTCAATTATTTCAAATATAATCCTTTAATATTTATTTTTAAACGTAAAGATAAACAATATATATTTGCCTAATAAATAATAATAAGGTTTAATTCTAAATTCTTTCATTAATCCCAATCTAAACATTTTTAAATTTCATTTCAATTATTTCAAGTATAATCCTTAATATTTATTTTAAAAATAAAAATAAACAATATATATTTGCCTAATAATGGTAATAATGAAGTTCAATGTCTCTCCTTGCTTTTAATAATCTATATTAAACTTATTAAGCTTATTAATTTAGCTGGTTCTTTAGTCTGTCACATTCCCTTTCCATTACACTTTTTTTTTTTATAAATTCTAAATTAATACAGATCTTAACACACCCACACAAAAAGAAAAAAGAACAAGTATAAGTTTCCCCTTTTACTATTTTAAGTGTTCCACCTTAATGATTAGAATATACCTTTATTCCCTCATCTTAATTCCCAATAAACCATTAGTCATTACATCTTCTCAATTGGATTCCACAGCATATTTCCCCCCCTTTAATAAGAGTTATCAGTATCTATATTACCCTATTTTCTAAATATTTTTAATTGCAGAAATATTCTTATTACCCCTTGTCACCCTGCAGAATCCCCCCCTTAATTCATCAACCATTATCTCTGAAAAGGCAATTTCTTTTCAACATTTTACTAGTTCTGTGTTTCTCTCTTTCACACGCGTGTTTCCCACTGCTTCTCCTCCCCCTCTCTTGCCCATGTCTTTTCTCATTCTTTCTGCATTTCCTGACTTCACAAGTATTCCTTCTTTTAATTGTAAAGAAACAATTTCCTTTCAACATTTTACCAGTTCTGTGTTTCTCCCCTTCACATGCGTGTTTCTTACTGCTTCTCCTCCCTCTCTTTTCCCCATAACTTTTCTCATTCCAATTTATCTCCTTAATATCTTCCCTTCCCCTTTTCTGCTGAATCTTCCTGCGTCTCCTAACTTCACAATTATTCCCCCTTTTAATTGCTTTCCTGAAATTCAACTTTTTAACCTTCCTTCTTTCCCCACTTCTTTGTAACGTTCTTTGTGTTAATTGTCCATTCAAAATGTCTTCTCCTTGAGTCAATTCCTGCTCCTCTGAGAATCTTTCTTCTTGTTCTTCAATCGCCATTTCCATTTTTTCTAGCACAGAGCAAAGTGATTCGCCTCTTTCCTGTAGTAATTCTCTCATATTTTTAAGTTCCATTTTTAAATCCCAGAGAGATATCATCATTCTTATATTTTATGATCCTTAAAGTCCACAAAAAGAAACCACTTTTACTTTCCTTCTTTCTTCTTTCAATTTTTTAAAGTTCTCAGCTATTCCAGTCCAGGGTCTAAACCAAAAACATCAATCAGTCCCACAAACAATCTTTCCTTCCTTGCTTTTTCCTTTATTCTGGTTCTGCTTTCACTTTCCAAAATTCTTACTTTGTTTCAATATTTCTGTAATGTTATATCCATATCAGTTCATTCAAAAACAAAATGTTTTCCTTTTTATTTGAACTAAATTTTTATCAAAAGGTGACACTCTCCATTATACGAAGTCTTCACTTTTTCCCCCCTGTATTTTTATTTAAGGTTTTTCGAACCTCAATATTCCAACACAATCCAGTCTCCAATTTGTAAACTTTATTATTATTATTCTTTGACAATCTTAAGTCCAGCTTTAATTTTATACTTGATTATTCCTAAATTATTTTAGTCCAATTTCATAAAATCTTTAATTCCAGCTTCTTCCTTTCCCGGTTCGAAGCACCATTTAGCTGACAAAAATATTTTCCTTTTTTTCTCTGTCTCTTTGTAATTTCGCCGCTCACGTTTCTTTTCTTAAAAGTTCTATGTTACCTTAATCCCGGGGTACTTTTATTTGATTATGTTGCCCAGTTGTCCCGGTTCAGATGTTATCCACCTCTTTCTTCCCTCCTGCACAAATCTTAGTCAAGCTGAGTCATCCTCTTCGGGATGGCCATTTTAGACCATCGCTGCAGTCGTCTTCGGGAGGAAAAAAAAACAAGCCCAGTGGGGGGAGATGCGGCTCCCCACAAACAGGCTTGTTGCTTCTTCTT